CTTTCCAATGACAGTTGAGAATGTGTGACATTCTGTGTCATTGAACATAAGCTGGAAGGAATGTAATCTTGAAAAAATTAGCAAAAACATAAATCATAAAGAAGGCTAGTTTGTACCTTCAATACAGTTTCTATGATAGCCGATTAACATGGCTACAGATGGAAGCATCTGCGTCTACACATATACACAAAAATATGCACTTGCAAACGTACTGTCCCTATACACCTACTTTTAAATACCATAATATTTGATTGCAAATGTGTATTTCATTCATAACAATAATTAGTTGGTGTTATCTTTAAAGAAATCAATGAGCCAACTTCATTAAACAGTATGTGGAAGTGTAATACATTCCACACACTAAAAGAAGATTAATGAACTGCTGAGAAGCTCCCTTCTGTTCTACCCAGCATATGTGTAGCTGCCACATCAGGGAAGAGCAGCTGACATATTTTCAGATATAGTAAATAGCTCTCAGGCTTTTCAAATAAAGTTGTACTCTGCCTTGTATGCAGGCCAGGGCCTATACATTGAATAAATCATCAGAAGTGTGTTCCAGTTCTTTTAAAGAGAGCACACTAGTGCTCTCTATTTTTTATTGATTGCATTTGCAGAGGAAAATTGAATCCATTCCTTGTCAAGGACCCTAAACCTCATGTCATAAAGAAGAGGGAAAAAAGGAAAAGATGGATGGACTTCAGTGGAATTAACCAGAAAGAATGATGTTTCCTATTGTGCGATGATAAATTATTTTTTTCATCTTGCCAATATCAAGTGAAAGGTAGCAGTTGAAGTACTTTGAAGTAGTAATCTTCAAAGACTTCTTTTAGCAGAATTGGAAATAAGCTTATTGGACAGTTGTCTCCAACTAGATGTTCTGCCAATTATCAGTCAAAAGCTCTTTCCTGTACAGAAGTTAACTCAAAAAGACAGACAAGTGTTTCTAGGATTTACAGCATCTCAGTAGGTGTGGCTATAACACCTCTAAATATTTTATTTTAGTAAATTGCATTTTTTTTTTAATAAAGGAAAAATAAATGAAATTCTCGCTATATTCATGAAGTCAATATAAATCCATGTCTCTCAAATTAGGATCTTCTGACAGGTGCCATGGTCTCTACTGTGAGCTAGTGAAAGTAGCACTGCATTGATTTTACTGTGTAAATTGAGAATCATGATATTTTAGTATGAACCGTTCAAAGAATAGTTTTGTTGCTATTTATGAGTGGTTTTGCTTGCTTTTCTTTGGTTGGCAAGTTTCAAATCCATTGCTGTAGGCTTTAAACCAGAATTTAGGTATTGGTTTGAAATTGCCTGTTACAAGAGGTATTGAATTAAAAGGAAAAACTAGAGGGACTTGATTTACAGCTTCCATTTTGAAGTCCAGAGTGTATTCTTAAGCAGAAATAAAAGAGCAATATGAGTTATGGAAAAACACTAAAAGAAATAAATGATTAAAGGTAAAACTCCCAGCATCTTTTTCCTTGTTTACTGATTACTAGATTAGTTAACGTAAATGTGGGTGCATTCTATATCAAGTATACTTGTACATGGAATGAAAACAAACAAACAAAAAACCCTGAATGAAGGAAGGAAATTTGAATTGCAAATAGCAAATTGCTCCAGAAGTAATTGTTTTAATAATTGTACAACAGCTATTTACATATCAGTCCCACCAAATAAACTCAGTGTGTCTGTACCAAGCACAAATTATTGTTGTCATAATGAGAAAGTGAATTATGAGGAAGGTGATGTAAGTTGAATTACATGTGTGCTGTTAAAATTTATTCCTGAGAATAAAGACTCAGCACTTAACTATGAATTTCTGGAGTGCAGGAAGGTATGTTTTTCAGTATCTGAGAAAAGATATGTTACTCACTGTTAGTAGCCTTTTCCCAGATTTATTTTATTTTACTTCTGTTGGGATGCTCTGTTCTTGTTTCTCATCTTAAATTCCACTTTTTTTTTTTTTTAATCCCAATTTCATGTGTTGGTTTGTTGGTTTTTTGTTGGGTTGTTTTTTTTTTCCTTGCTGCCAAGTTCTTGCATGTTTTTAGGGTGCTGTATTTGTCTCTGGGAGAAGATTGTAGAGGAGGATGAGGAGGAGGAAAGGGAAAGTGGTACGTAAATAAGATCATAAAACTCTTCACTCTGACTATAAAGCATCACTTCTCCACAAATACTGTAAATAAGATCTAGTAAACTATATTTCTTGCTTTATAGCCTAATCTCAACAAGTCTAATAAAAAGCTGAAATTATTAATTCCAATATACCCATTCAATACTTCAGTACTTCGTCATTTTACTATTTGTAGATTGTCTCCTTAGTTTCTCCTTTTTTTTTTTTTTTTTGTATGTGCATGTATTATATATATATATGACTATGTATGTGCAGAGGTGTGTGAAAACATAGGTTTGACATATATATATATATATAGGTTGACATATATATATAAAACTGCAATATATTTTTGGGTGATGTTACATAGACACTCTTTGCAACAGTATTTGTAAATGTACATTAATGCGTTTAATATACCTTTATTGAATACAGTTTATTCATTAGCAAGCTTATTGCCTGAAAGAAACCTTCTCTTTAGAAATATTGTATCACATTTCATATGCGAAGAGTTCTTTTCATGGGGTGTAGAGCCACCAATTTAGAAAAGAACTTATTAGCATGATTAACTGATTTAAACTGATTACAAGTTTTGCTGAATAGGGATGTCAGTGGTCTGACCAAGGTGGTAAAGTAACTGACAGATTTGGGGGTAGAGGCTGCAGCAATTTTGTCAGGTCGCAAGTCCAAAGAAATGCCTTGGTTTATATTGTTATGGGGCTTGGAAATTTATAGAGGACCCTGAAACCTAAATGCTTTATCAGCTGCAAAAAGGTAAGAACTATTGTCTTCCATGTGCCTCAAGTAAGTGTCGTAAGCTCCAGTGCCCTAAATGCCACCAGGAACCACTGGCATAGGCTTCCACTGGGCCAAGTACTCTGTACATCAGATGAAGAAACAGTATTGTGAAAAATAAAAATTCGAGCATGAAAGGAAATTCTTGTCTAAGTAAATGGCAGAGCTTCTAATGACTTCATGGAGCCACTTCTGGAAGTAAGTTTAGTTGAGAAACAAAGTTTAGTTGAGAAAGTCTGTACTTAATGCTTAATTACACAGTTGATCAAACTGGATCTGAAAGAGATAATTGAACAGTAACCATTTTTAAATGATAATTATCTTCTCATGGTGCTTCAGGGAATTATTCCTCTTTCTTAAGTAAACATAGATATATTTATAAATATCTACTTGACAAAGAGACAAGTATATAGTACCTGCTTACAGGGAATCTCAAGAGTTGGAAATTTAATTTGATATTTCTATAAAAAGCTATATCTTCAGAGAGTAATATTATCTTAAAACTACTTTGAAAAAAAAAGACAACAGATAAACCTTTCTGCAAAACACATGGTGCAACAATTTTCTCCTTAACCTTTACAAATAAGCCTATAGAATTAAATGTTTTGATCTCATTTCTCCAGTACCTGTCAACAACCTCACTTTGGAAATGGGCTGTCAAATGTTAACTTTCAACCTGTTCTTATTTTTATTGTTTCTTTTTTTCACAGTAGCAGAGGGCTAGAATGTAGACCTATGTACTAAATTTTGTACTGTGATGCCATTCATGTGCCTGAAACATGAACTGTTTTTACTTCAGCTTCACTTGCCCATTTGCAAGAGAACTTGGATTTTCTTTCCTGTGCACAATATCACAGTGTAAGCAGGATCTGTATTACAGTGTTGACCTTCATAGGATTTATACCTACATCTTTAGCTGTTTTCAAATGTTTTTCCCTCTCTAATTCCCTTTGCAGCCTTGGCTTGCTGATCCAGATTTTTCACATTTAGAAACATTACTTACAAAGCCATTAAGCAACACAGAAGAAAGAATTAGTCACCAAACCAACAAAAAGCCCTTGCTCCTTCTAATTAACTGCATAGCTGCTATTGACTAACATTATTAATATTGGAGGGGGGGTGGGGGTGGGGGGGATAATGAGATATTTCCAGCTGATTAAATGAGGTGAAAAGCATGATTTATCAAAGTTATACCATAAGATACTCTGTAGTGCAATAAAATTTCATTGACTACTAACCATAGTCAATTAACTATTACCGCAGCAGTGTTCATCAATTTTAGAGTAAGTCTCCCAACATATCTTTTTTTTTGAAAAAGGCATAGAACATATTGATATATTATATATTTGATTGGTTATATGATATATCTGATTGACTAAAATAAGCTTTGGCAGAGGACAACTTTGTGAATATAAGTTTCTGTATAACTGACCACATAGCGTTTAGATGAAATGTGAATTTCCTTTTTGAAGTTCATTGTGGAACTGACCCAACTCATAAATACTAATGTTCACATTGCTGATCTTTTTGTAAGTGATCACATCTATGAACACTAAGATCATTTTAGCAGGCAATAATGAATACTACTGTGCATGCGGCCCCACCTTAATGTTACAATTCAAATAACTCATCATTGTCTTTTTCCCATATAATCCTCTTAGAGCATCCATTTGGGAAGGGACATCTTTGTTACCTTTATAAGAGACCCACCTACTTTCGTTGACATCATTCTGGGTATTCTTATTGCAGTGTATCGTAGTTAGTAGAAACATCAAATTTATATGCTTGCATTTATTTTTCTATAACTGGGAAGTGCAATTGGAGTGATATCTCAGAAATAAAGTATTTGTAGAAGATATTGGGTATGCAAATAAACCAACAGTCATTGCATACAAATAATGCAAAGGGAAGAAGAGAGCAGGAGGAACTTAAATTCCCAAGGAAGAGGAGTGTTTCTTTAAATGTACTCTATTGATTAGTTAAATGAAATGTTATTACTTTCTGCAGTAGTTCAGTTTGCTTTTTGTAGTCATTGTTTGTGTTAGGATGTAACTTTGTAACACCAAATATGTTTTATCTTTGACAGCAACGATAGTGTTAAATGAACTCAACTGGACTGCAGCATTGGATGATGTATTCAAGCGGAACAGAGAAGAAGACCCTACTTTATTATGGCAGGTTTTTGGCAGTGCAACTGGCCTCGCTAGGTATTACCCAGGTAACTGAAGTCTCCTAAAGAACTGTCCTATGTCTCATATTGCCTTAAAAATATTCTGAATTATTTACAAGCAATAAAAGATAACCAAAGATGACTTTCTTACATAGATGAGGTTTCTGTATATTAGAAGTAACTCAAAGACTGTGAAATTATTCTGGCATAAAGCAACTATGAAGGGGAAAAAACTGGAAGTGAAATATGTAACTAGTATTTTTTACAGTAAGAGGAACAGAAGATGATGTCCTTTGAAAAGCTGAATAGTTAAATATTATTTTTGTATTGTATTCTATGTGTTGTGTAGAGAATCAGTTGAATATTTGCCAGTGAGATTTTTGTACCTTTCTAGTTTTAAAAGTAGTTACTCACTGACTAGACAGATAAATGAATACAATTTGATTATTTCAACCAACCTCTGTTCCACCTGTTGAAGATTCCATTACTGGATCACAGTAATTAATTTAAATGGATGCATATTTTACTGAATTTAGGTGATCAGTAGCCTTATTTTGATTTTTGATGTGTACTAGCTGATGGAAAGGCTTGCTTTATGGCAAGGCATACTGCCTGTGCTGCTGTTCTCATTAAGCAATGCTGTTATCAATGACAGAATAACATGTCGACTACAGGAAAGACAGTTGTGTGCAGTGTCTTATCTCTTGTCTACAACTGGTTAAGGAAGCCATCTGAGGTCCTTTGAAATCCTCTCTTTTCTGTTTATATAAGACTGTGTTTCTGAGGGTGAGGGGGATTATTCTAAAGCTGTTACTGTATCATTAGCAAAATTGCTAGCACAGGCAGAGAAATTGCCTCAGGCTACTTTACAGGAAGAAATATTTCATAACATTTGAAGCTGTTTGTTTTGTCATGCTAGGTGCCAGTGAAATAAATACAGTGGGATGTTGCAGAAAAAAAAATAAATATTGAATATGCTAATTGCATATCTCTCTTATTTCCAAGTGTTGTGTTTCAATGCTTTTGGGATCTATTAGTACTGTGTTTGGGGTCACCATTTGTCACCGCTTACTATATAGTGATGTTTTCCAAGTGCTGAAAAAGAACTGTTTCTTAAATACATCTCTGTGGCGATATCTAGGAAATTAATTTTCAAGTGTAAGAGTATCCTATATACTGAAAAATATATTCTTATGTCTAGCTAACCTGCCTCCTCCAGTTGTTTACCAACACAACACAGGAGCCTCAGAATCACTATGTATTCTTCCTGAAGGCACCTCTGTAAAATGGGAGAAGCTTGTTTTCCCTATTTTTCAGGTGGATATGGTGCTTGTATATACTCCAGCTAAACACAAATTTATGTTTAGTATAACACTCAGATCTTCACACCTCCTGCTTATTCCATAGCTAAGTGCTTAAGTCCTTATTAGCTGTCTAGTGTTGTCAGAACTTAAAAAATTCCTGGGTAATTCCCTAATTCTTAAATTTTACACACACTCCAGTAACCTGGAGCAGCCTGAGAGTCCTTAAGTTGTCTGTGTGTTGTTCTGTGCATCTTCTCCTTTCCACTTCCTTCCATTTATAGCTCAAATCAGTAAGCCCTTTGGGTTTTAGATTTTTAGAATAAGCCTTTGCACAAGTTTGTCCATCTTTCTCCTTTTGTAAACTCTGTCTAGTTTGCAGAGGCCTATCTGACACACACAAATGTTCTGAAAATGAAATTAAGTTTCATATACTGGAATGGATGTTTTTCACATTTGCTTTTTGAAAACGATATAAGTTGTAAAACCTTGCTTCCTTCTATTGGCCTTAGGTAAGCCTGCTTCAAAGAGATTAATTTCTCCATAGTGATGATATTTGTGAAAGTATTTGGAAGTCTCAAAACCCAAAATTAAAATGCATAGATAAGTCTGCTCATTATTAGCTGAACTGTATCCACTCAGTCTTTCCTCCCTTAAAAGAAATCAGTCTTTGGTACCTCTAAGCTATAGAGGGAGTCTTCAGTCACAGCTTTCTTGAACTAATGTTTTTGTCTGATAGTATCCCACTGCTTTGAGTAATGGGCTATATGGTACATCACTTCTGTCCTAAGTAGGCTCTTGGGCTGTCCTTGTCACCATAGTAACCAGCAACATGAAAGAATCTACGAGCGACCCCATGGGTGGAAAGCATGTGTGAAATATTAGATTTTTTCTATTACATATATCTCCTTGTTACCTACATATATTCTAGTTTTGTACTGTTGTACACTCCTCTAGCATCACGTATATGATTTCATATAATTTTCAGCTGTGTTTTGTCTGTCTCTTCAGTACATTTGTGTTCCCTTGTCTCTATGAAGAAAACAAGGCAGCTTCCTTCTGACTATAACCTAGGTAGAGACACATGGCATTTAGACCAGTTCCTTTCCTCAGACCTTCTTCTTTATACACTATAATAGATGGTATTAGACTTAAATACAATAGTAATTAGATGCAGTAGAATAAGAATAGGAAACTGTGTTTTACAAAAATAGCTAACAGCATCAGGTAGAGGGAGTAACAGTACCAAAGTGTTCACTTCCTTTAATGTTATGATGTAATTAGTCCCTCAAATGTCCCTTATGCAAAATGTCATTTTTACTGAGGAGAAAACCACATTCTGTGTGGTGTTACCTTTGGTTTTGTTTTGAAGAAGAAGAAAATAAGTAACCAAGGCAAGCCAGATTTAGGAAGATACTTGTGTAGATGGATAGATCCAGATGTGCAAGACAGCTAAGTATTAGAAATATATACATAAACACACATATATGTAGATATTTGCAGTGATAGCAGAACCAGTGCCAGGCATAAAAAGGAACTGTATGGCAACATTCTATGTTTACCTTACAGTGTGTCCCAGTATAAATGTTAGAGATTGCATTGAGGTCAACTTCTCTATCGATTAATACATTACTTGCTTCATTTTGTTTATTAACTATTTTTCCCTAGAATATACCCAGTTCAGCTCTCGTTTTCAAACATCAAGACAGAAATGGCCAAAGATGCAGAATACATCCATAGGCTTCAAATCTTTTCTTTTTTTTTTTTTTTTTTTCACCTCTTTCAGTTAGGGTTTTAATCAGCTCGATTTAAAAAGTCAGTATAAGTCTCCTCATACTGAACTTTTTCTTCTTTAAATTATTTAAGAAAGTGTGTCTTGCTTAAAATAATTTTAAAGATTAGTGAGGCTACTTAGTATCAACATTTTCATTAGTTTCAGTGGCAGCACATTTGTGAAGAGAAATGTTATGCTTTACTGCTGTGCTGGCAACCATCCATTTTGATATGAAGATGCCAAAAGCAATTTTGAGATTTCTATTAGCTATTCTGTGAGCTCAGAACAACTCAAGAGTAAGTAAACAGTAGTTTAATAAAAGAGCTCAGAAGGATAAACACATAAAGTAAATGGAACTTTAAGGAAGGATGTAATATATACTCATTCTTATGTTTCAAGTTGTATATCGCAAATTAGTCTTTCTTTCAAGAGATGGTTTCAGTGTAAGAATGCATTTTTACATACATTTATGGAGTTGTATCACAATCAAGATAGGGATCTCTATCTCCAGGTGATGAAGGTACCTGATAAAATTCTTAATTTATGAGGGAAGTGTACAAAAGGTGGAAGCAAGGACAGGTGACCTGGGAGGAATACAGAGACACTGTCCAAGCATATAGAAACCTGGTTAGAAAAGCCAAAGCTTACTTGGAGTTGAATATGGTGAGGTATATGAAGGACAACAAAAAGAACTTCTACAGGAACATCAGCAGCAAAATAAAGACTAAGGAAAATATGGACTTACTGCAGAATGTGGGCCTGCTGCCCCCTGCTGGGACAGGGGACTTGGTGACAAAAGGCATGGAAAAGGCCAAGGCACTCATTACAGCAAGTCTGCAGATAGCACAAAATTGGGAGTGGCTCACACACAAGACGGTTGTACTGCCGTTCAGAGGGACCTCAACAGACTGGAGACCTGAGTTGAAAGGAATCTCATGGAAAGTTCAAAAGACAGAAATGCAAAGTTTTGCTTGTTGTAGAGGAATAAGTGCAGTATGTGCAGGGCTGAGCAGCTGGAAAGTAGCTTTACAGAAAAAAAAAAATATGGGGGTCCTAATGGATGAGTTGGACATGGCCAACAACAGCCAGGGCTGCATTAGGCAGAGCATTTCTAGCAAGTGGAGGGAGGTAGTCTTTCCCCTTGACTTAGACATGGTGAGATATCTGGAATGAAAGATCCAATTCTAGACTTCCCAGTACGAGAGAGTGTGGGACTTACTGAAAAACCACAAAGATGATTAAGGATGTGGAGGATCTGTTTTATGAGGAGAGGCTGAGAGAGCTAGCTTTTGGTCTAGAGAAGATGAGATTCAGAGGAGTCTTGCAAGTGTGTATAAATACTTAATGTGTGGCTAAGCAGTATCCATCATAGTAGTTTTCCTTGTCACTCTGTGCTTTCCTCCACTTCCAAAAGAAAACTTGAAAAAAAATGTCTTTGGAATCTTAATACTGTCATTCAGAACAACAGAAACAACATCACGTATAATTGTTTTCATACAATATCTAGTTGTGTTTGCAGTATCTGTCCATGTAGACTGTGTCAAAGAGGACCAGCACTGCTGGGCCAGTATGGAAGTGTACAACGGATGGATTAGCCAGGGCAAAGGTACTCATCCACAAGGAGAAAGCTTGTCTGCTTAGCTCCAATCTTACTCTATTACTGTCTTTTCAGAAGTAACAGTGTACTCAGTGCTTGTTTTAGGAAGTAGGGTGTTATTTGTTTATTTGTTATTTTTTCTTCAACACAAGTAGTAATCTGTGGAAAAGACAAGGTTAAAAAAGTTGGACATATTGAGATCTCCTGGTATATGCAGTGCTTGTGCTGGGGTCAGCTTCGGATGTGAGCCCAACAAGTCCATATTGACAAGGCAGCTCTGAGGTCAGGCCAGGAGGTCCCTGAGTCAGGGTCAGGATCAGCAAAGTACAACATGGTACACAGACCTCCACACAATGCAGCTCAGGCAAGGAGCAAA